TCCATGATTGGCACATGCTGTAGAATGAATGTGTTATTGAAATAGTATATAGCTGAGAGTAGCGGAATGCACTTTAGAGATCCCACACCCTCTGAACTATTAGTAGCTACACTAAATTTCACATCAATTGATAGAACCAGTTCAGATTCATTGAAGAATGAGAACTTTGTTTGTGTGATACGATATTTTGTTTTGGTGAGTAATGGCCGTATTCTGTTCTCACACACATCTATGGTTTTGGTGAACTTTGAGTCTAGAGTTTTTACTCAGTAGGGGTGAAATACATATCATTCGATAGAGCTCATCAAAAGGATTCGAATAGAATCGGTTTCGCGTGTGGCACAGGTTATTGAACGAATAATTACGGGAATTATATAATAAAATGGTATTTTGTTACGTTTCTGGAGCTTGAAGGTCTCACGAGTTGGTTTGATTAGGGTTTTATTGGTGCCATCAGATGCAGGACGTCGAGATGCATCGAATGATATAAATCTGAAAAGTGGCATGGATCCTGGTTCGAATTGTTTTACGACATTTCGGATTTTAGTGTTTTTGCCTGTGGTACGAAATTATAGTTTAGTTTGTCTTTTGTTGGTTTTGATCTTGGCTGTAATTCCAAATTTACGATGTGATAGAGTTTGTCGAGCTCTATCTGGCACACGAGAAATGAAACCTGGCACAGTTGAGTTGGCGAATCGACCTGAAAAAACTCGAATTAGGTGCTAACTTCCCTTACATATAACTTGAAACGAAAATAAAAAACAATAATCTTTTAAAGATTGGTCTTTTTAGTTAATTTTTTCGAGGCGCCTATTACTGAAAAGAAACAGTAATTTATTATTCCCTTTTATGAAATAAAGAGTCTCAACAAAAAAAATTAATTTGTTCTCATTTGTATGTTTCTCTGCTAGATGGAAAATTACAATTATAATAAAAGTGAACTATGAGATAATATTAGTAATGATTAGTGTTTTTGTTTGTGTGAACATTACAACAATTTTATGATGAATAATGAACAAAAGCTTGATGTGTCAGGTAGAGGTGTGGGTGTGGATGTGGGATGTGGATATTGTTATATAATCGAATATCCACACCCACACCCACACCCTAGCAATTGTACAATCTGGCAATGTATTGAATCGAAATCTAAGTGAAAAAGACACAGAACAATTTTACGGTTGATATCATGTGACAATTGATTCTTCTAGACTACTATAACGAAACTGTTTAATCTACCCCTATCAAAGACAGAGGAAACACAGTGTTAAGTATGGCTACTCAATATGAACAAGCAGCCGTGACTGATGAGTCCCTTAAGCAAGGACGAAACCGGTCACGGCTGCTTGTTCAGATGAATATTTTGATTATACTTTGAAGGAGTAGCCTGACATTCCACCAGCACTTTGTAAAAACAGAGGAGAAAAAGAGGCATACAGTTTCGTCCGAAGAAAACTAAAACTCACTAGCACAATAGTACTATAAATCCGGCAAAACTCGTACATTATCAATATAGGTTGAATATGACTTGAAAGAGTAAAAAAGAAATGAAACTTCCAATTGTTCATAGAGATTTTTGTGCCATTGCTTATACTATATGCATTAGAAAACGGGAAAACATTAGAAAAATGGACAATTCTATTTGCGTAGTATCTGACTATAATATTATTCTATCTGACTGAGTAGGCACACAGAAATAGAAACGATTAGAATTCATTAGATTTTTTTTCTGCCTTTTGTTCCTTTTTTCGGATGACTGTGCATGTAAGAAAGGTATTTTTTCGTTTTTTTCAATTGTCACCAATTCTTCCATGATACAGCCAGTTTGTGAGAAATCGTTTGACCCCGTGCTTTCGAAGACGCTTGATTTTTTCCAGTGAAATATGATCATCTTCCTGCGTTCTGTAGAAAATGACTTATTTGTATTGGGTAGATTGTAGGATCCTCTGCTTTTTGATCAGTGGAGCGCTGCTGTTTATTACTATCGCATTCCATCATATCCGATTTCTTCCAAGTGTCATCAAACCGTTGTCAATATTAACCCATGTCAAGCAAACACGCTTGTAATCGAAGAAATGTGGCGTTTCACATCGCCCAATATTGCGATCGTATAAATCCGTGATTGTATGCGCAGAAATACGATCGTTTATGGACAAAAAAGCTCGTCTACAGCTTTCGTTTTACTCTGTATTTCGTCGTATACGATTACATTTCTCCGTGTACGATTTATAGATATACGATCGTCCAAAATGTGATTGTATACGAAGAAACTCGGAGGGAGAGGAATTACTTCATTTTGACAGTAAATTAATAGCGTAAGGTAATCTAGCAACATATCAGAGCATCTGTAATCAACCCAATAATTTTGAAGGATCAGATATTGCCAGATACAACATGAAAACTTTTATCGGTATCTGATAAGCAGAAATCTTTAACTTATGACATCATACTATCAAAAGTTATCTTGTCGAAGAAATCCTATTGAATCTGACAGGATTCTAGGATAGATCTAGCCATCCTGGAAACTTCTTCTCATTTTGACGCATGCGTTACGCCACGAGTTAGCTATCCATTGTGAGATTCACATCACAAGTTTTCCTGGGACTGAGAAAAATGTACAAGAAAAGTGAGTTGATATTACGATTTTACATGTCGATCTTTACAAGAAAAACTTGTCAAGATTGTGAAAGAATGATGAATTCACATTGGAAATATAATTGAATGATTTTGCCTCCATTAGAGAGCTATAAAAATTGAGTTCCAATTAGGGATATATAACATCGCTGAAGTTGATCACTAAAATCATATAATTTAGCCTCCCTAGCTATACACTTCGACTGATCGGCACCAGAGATGAGCACAGGACAGGACGGTCCTGGCGTCCTGGTGTCCTGCCCTGTCCTGTCCTGCAGGACAGGACGCGATTTTGATTTTTGTCCTGTCCTGCCGCCCGCCAGGACAGAGATTGCCAACAGGACAAAACAGGACAGGACGTGATTTTGATTTTTGTCCTGTCCTGCCGCCCGCCAGGACAAAGATAACGATTACAACAGGACGGAACAGGACAGAAAAATTTCTCGTGTGAATTTTCTCGTTCTTTTGTTATTTATATTTGTTAAACAACTATCACTTTCGACCGGTCACTTTTTAACAGTCGACGTATGTGGTGATTGATAGGTATCGCTATGAGGATGAATCATAACACTAATTAAAATATTGGTTGAAAAAAAAGCGCCAATTAGATGTAGTCATTGATGATTCAGAAATTTTACGTTAGAATATGAAGAGAAAGCAACACCAAACAAATGTTCTTTATTCTTTTCGTCTTGAACGTTTTTTATTTTACTTTGTATTTCATTTTTTTCTATTTACTGACTCTCAAAATAAATATTCAGCATGGGGTTTAGTAAAGTTTCATCATCGTCGAACATATTATATTTCTCAAAATTGAACAATTACCTAAATACGAAACAGAAATATAATATTACAAAAAAGAATTCTCAACAGCATTAATAAATTTGTCAAAATTCTTTGGTTATTCAGGAAAACTAACTAAATATAGCGTATTTCAAAGAATGATAGAATATATTATTTTTTTTATTAATCTTTATAGTATACGTTCATTCATTCATGAAAATAGCTGTTTTTTGTGATAATAGTCTATGCTGTTGCTACTTTTCATAGACAGTATCTAGTATAAAATAAAATAATTATATTACAACGAATCATGGTCATTGTTTTCTATTTTTTTTCTTGTCATGAATGTGTCAGCAAGATAAAAAATTAATATTTTACTATATTTTATTCTACTTATCAAATAAGTGATGATATATAATGTATTTCCAGTATTTGAGAATAGTAAAGAATAAATTAGGTATAATATGAATGATATCAATATTTGCTTTGATAAACGACAGGGACGTGCCCAAATAAAAAAGGGTACGGGTATCCTAAGTATACACCCCTGCACTCTTCCTCAGGATAAAGTTCTTACATTAAGATTTCAAAACAAACGTTCTAGCACAGTTTCACTATAGCAAAGCAGTACTTTTCAAAATTTGAGGGCGTGGGCCCTCCTTATTCCTTATCAGCACAGTCCTGATCAACGATAGACAGATTAGGAAATCGTGATCGACTCTCTGTCTCTCGAAAAAAATAAAATGAATTAGCAAAAAACACTAGGAAAAAGTTTTCATTATTCTCCTATCAGTGGGTGGAACGGAAAAAGTCAGCAGGACAAAGCAGGACAGGACAAAAACAGGACAGGACGCGGTTTTGATTTTTGTCCTGTCCTGCCGCCCGCCAGGACAGAGATTGTCAACAGGACAAAACAGGACAGGACGCGATTTTGATTTCTGTCCTGTACTGCCGCCCGCCAGGACAGAGCTGGCTAACAGGACAGGGCAGGACAGGACGAAAAATCTTGTCCTGTGCTCATCTCTGATCGGCACATCAGTTTATGTTATGTAATCTTTTCGTATGATATGGTTACATTAATCAAGATATTCATGGGTGTTTTCGCTAACAAGCTACTTTTTCGTGACAAAAGAGGAAAAAGAAGTGGAGTAGGGTGCTAGGGAGTAACATTATAAACATCTTTACAATATCAGATGAGATAATTTTGAACGAAATAGTTAGGTTATTCGATAGGCATTTATTGTATTTTTTAAGTGACATGTTGCAGTACGAAACATTCTCATTTGAAGGTTAGGAGATAAAAAATCAAAGTTTTTTTTTTTTTATAAACGTCTATAATTGTGTGACACTGACAGGTATCGTATGCTTACTTACCATGTGCTTATGTCTACACTGAAATATTTAGACTTCGTCTCAAAAAGAAACAAATAGCGACTCAAGATAAGGTATTCGATAAAATTCAGAAGAAAACAAACGCTGTTCGAAAAAAAGAATGAGTTGTATCAATATACCAATTTAACTGAACACCTGATTTTGTCATGATACTATGTTGGATTATATTTCTGCTAGTCAACATCGTTCATCCGATGATGGCCATACCACCACCGTTGACAACATACGATAACGATATCGATATTCTCTTAAGTCAAATGACTGATGAAGACAAAATTGGTCAAATGACTCAAATAGCAATTGATCTAATACTTAAAGATCCAAGTAAACCGTGGAATGAAATTGAAGTCGATCCAGTTAAATTGAAAACAGCCATTCAAAATTATAAGATCGGTTCAATATTTAGTGTGGCTGCTACTGGTGCATATAGTCTTGAACAATGGCACGATATCATTGGAAAAATTCAAGATGAATCATCGAAAACATCATTGAAAATTCCAGTTTTGTACGGTATTGATTCGATTCATGGTGCTAATTTCGTTCGAAATTCTGTCCTATTTCCACAAGCAATTGCTCTAGCTGCAACATTTAATACGACTATGGTACGTGAAATCGGTAAAATTGTCGCACGTCAAACACGTGCTGCTGGAATTCCGTGGGTTTTTCATCCTCAAGTCGATATTGGGTGAGTTTGCTACGTTGATTCTTTAAATAAATTGAGTTCTATCTTAGTCGGCAAAAATTATGGCCTCGATTGTGGGAAACCTATGGCGAAGATGTAAAACTTGTTAAAGATATGGGTCGTGCGTATACAGAAAGTATGCAAGGTGATGATCTGAAATCGCTCGTGACAGTGGCTGCTTGCTTGAAAAGTTTTGTTGGCTATAGTCATCCACAATCAGGTCGCGATCGAACACCTGCATGGATTGATGAACGTCAAATGCAAGAATATTTCTTACCACCATTTGAGGAAAGTATTCGAGCTGGTGCTGTTTCAGTAATGATTAATCCTGGAGATGTGAATGGTATACCTGGTCATGCCAATTATCATTTAATGACGGAAATTCTCAAAGAAAAATATCAATTTGAAGGATTTGCACTTTCCGATTGGGTACGTATGTATTAAGGCTGCGAAAGGACAAAGTGTTAAATACTAGAAAGTTTTTATACAGACACATGAAGATATTTTTCATCGGAAACTTTTGATTTTTTTTGTTACAGGAAGATATCATACGACTTCATACTGTTTATCATACTGCTGATACACCTAAAGAAGCTGTTCGTCAGGCGATCATGGCTGGAGTTGATATGAGTATGGTTCCTTTAGATTTTTCATTCTTTGATCTTGCACTCGAAGGTATCAAAGATGGTTCAATATCAATATCTCGAATAGACGATGCCGTACGACGTATACTTCGAGTAAAATATGCACTAGGTAAGTAATACATTTAATTTCTATGTAAACTTCGAAAAAAAGAATGCATCGATCTCATTCATGATTTGTTTCATCATTGTAAGGTCTTTTTGATGGAAGAAATGCTTGGCCTGATATTTCAACAATCAATACTTTTAGCAATCAGATATTCGATCAAATTAATCTTCAAGCAGCACATGAAGTGATTACATTACTCAAGAATGATAACAACACATTGCCTTTAATAGAAGCTAAGATCACTTCGGACACCAAATTATTGATTACTGGTCCTACGGCGGATGTACTAACTTCACTCAATGGTGGATGGTCATATACATGGCAAGGAAATGATCAATCAATCTATCCAACTAATTTTACAAATAAGACAATTCTTGAATCGATCAAACGATATCTGGGTACATCAAAGGTTGAATATATCAATAGTACAACATTCGATCAGATAGTTGATATGAGTAAAGTTCTGGATGCATCTGTAAATGCTAGTTATATCTTGGTATGTCTTGGAGAACAGGCGTATACCGAAACACCAGGCAATATTAATGATTTGATATTGGACGACGCTCAGTTACAATTAGTTGAACAGTTGCACAATCGAACAGATAAACCAATCATTACAATATTGGTTGAAGGTCGACCAAGAATCATACGTCGTATTGTTGAATTATCTTCAGCTATTGTTATGATGTACTTACCAGGCATGGAAGGGTTTGTATACAGCTTTAAATTAGTATTATTTTTTGTATATTTATTTATCTGATATAAATCAGTGGTCAAGCTCTTGTCGATGTTCTCTTTGGGAAATATAATCCAAGTGGACGTTTACCGATCACTTATCCAAAATACAACCACCATCTATCAACCTACGATTATCAATGGTGTGAAACTTCTCTTGGCAATAATATTGATGTTGAATTTGAATTTGGCCATGGATTGAGTTACACAACATTTGTTTATGAAAATCTAGTCCTTTCACCTTCACCTATACTTCTATGGGATGAACAACTTTCGATTAGCATAGTCGTACGCAATACTGGTTCAGTCATTGGCGATCATACAGTGCTTCTATTCATAAGTGATCTTTATCGTTCGGTAACACCACCTAATAAAGAATTGAAAGGTTACTCTAAATTGACATTGACACCTGGCGAGCAGAGGAAGGTCGAATTCCTATTGAATCGAACTGATCTTTCATTTATTGCTCTTAATAATACTCGTTTGACTGAGCCTGGCCTTTTTATTGTCACTATCGGTGATCTTCAAGCAAATTTCACATTAGTCGCTAACAAGAACACATTATCTTCTACCTCGACATTCAATATTCATCACTTAAAAATCATTACTCTCCATTTTCTTTTTTTTATTCAATTACTTTTGATGTAAAATAAATGCTTTTCTATCATACGAAATAAGAAATAGATATTGCATTAGAGACTCATTATATTTATATTTACAGCCGCTTAATACCTTTAAATTGGATTGAGTACTTTCGACATTTACTTGTTTATTTGAAATGTCTGATATAAATAGGAACTGATCAATTCATATAAAAAATTTACAACCATTATGAAAAGTACTTTTTTTTGCGACATAAAACTCAATATTATAATTTATGCGTCTCACCACCAAAGCTCTACAGCATACATTTGATTGGTCTTCAACGAGAAAACATAAACTTGTTTATCAACATCCGGTCAGACTTTCTAACAAATCCTCTGTTTTGAAAAGAAAACTTTTATTGAATTAGGTCTCAGTTACCAAAGACAACTTTTAGCATCAAAAGATAAATAGAACAATATCAATGACTCAAGTTCAAGCACAATATTTAAAAAGATCAAGACATTCAGATGCTGTCACTAAAACTTATCAACATAAGCATACATAGTTTCGTCACTGATATGTATCTGTTATTTTTCATGTTACCATCATCACAAGTTAGGTATTCTACAAAGATTGGAAGTAATTGACAATATAATAATGATAGAATGCCAAATATCAAAAGTTGCCTATCAAGATCATCCAAAATAGTTCATCATCAAGTAATAAGCGAATTTGATATAAGATTAGTATTACAAACAGTTCTCATCATAGTGAAGTAAGATGTTTTTTCCTTTTGTCTATAAACTCATTCTTGCTATTAAAGGAAAATAAAATTATCTGGTTAGATCAAACAGATATTACGAATGATTATAATCCAAAGTCTAAAAGAAATCAAAAGAAAAAATTAGTGCATTAGCCTGGTGTTATTCATAGTAAGCTTGATCTATTTATCACGGCGATGTGTAATTGCGTCAGTACTTGCGACTCTACTTCTTGCTTTGATCATTTCTGCCATTTTACTTGCTCACTTGATAAAATCTAAATCAATAACTTTGATTTTCGTAAATGATTGTCTATTAATATTGAGATGAATTGTAGATCACTATTAATAGTTTTTATCTTTTGTTGGATGTTGCTACTTGTAGAAAACGCTGTAAACTTAATGTTGTTCATAATTTTCTTGTTTTTTGAGTAATTTTTCGTGACTCGATTTGTCATTTTATCCGAATAGCATTCCATTTTTGTGAATTGTTAAGACTAGTCGAATGAATATTAGTCCTGACTGCAAGTAACTAAGATGCAATAAAATGGCTTTGTTGTTTCTAGTGATATGACTTAATAGAAATATGTGTTTAGAAAAGTCTAGTCTTGACCAAGTTCCATATTTAAGTTATTTTGAAACACAAGATACCCGTTCAAAGATATTCACACACGTGCCGGATACTGTAGTTTTGAGAATAATGAGTAAGTGTATATCGTATGCCGTTTATAAGAGCGTAAACAACTGCTCGTCATTATATAGATATATAACTACCGTATTTTTATCATTTACATATGGTATTTCATCAGAAGCTGAACATCTGTTCAATTTATCTGATCAATGGTCTTCTTTCTGTGGCAATGCAAACACAGGTAAACTAGAGAGTGTGGGTGGGTGTGGGTTTTGTGGAAGAGAAAATTCACGCCCACACCCACCCCACATCCTCACCCACACCCACCCACATCGTCACCCACCCACACCCACACCCACACTCACACCCACACTCCACACCCACACCCACCTACATCCTCACCTACATCCACACCCTCAACAATGTCTCAGCTACTCAATTATGCAAAAACCAATATATTAGTATTTATTATTACTAATTACAAAACTATCAATAAAATAACATGGCTTATTAAAAAAATGTAAAGAAGTATTACGAAATAATCGACCGTTTATATGATATGAAAGACTGATGTTGTCATCGACTAGCTCAGTAGGAATAAATGATGAGGCTCAAGTTTTATGAATCAAACAGCGATAAAAGAAAACCAAGTATGCCACAATTTGTACATCAACAATTGAATATGTACATAGAGTTAGATAGAAATAATCAGAGATATTTTGCTGCTTGACATATAGTGAAGCTTTTTTTCCCATTCAACAACATTGCTGTAACAAGTGAACAGACAAAAGACGGTTCCAATTTCCAATATATAGAGCAAACGTGTATACATAGTATATACGTTGATATTCACTTGTAGAGAAGTCTAAAGAACAAAAAAACACAATATATGTTATTTCTTGTCTGCCAACGCGTTAGTAATACAACAGACGTCAAAAACGAGAAACACAATAAGCTAAATAAAACCATCTGTACGTTTGTCTAAAACACAATCAAATGAAAGATATACGAAAAATCTGTGTGTCTGTCACTCATTACACATTGTAGGCAAGTAATACTAACAGCATAAGTTTAAGAATATGTTTTAAATATCAAATAGATTATTCATCCTTTTACCATAGTAATTGCAATAAATTCCAGGCATAGTTCGACAATCATCGTAAATAGATAAATCTGACATCAAATTTAAAACGATAAAAGAAAGGCATTTTAGTGGTAATGGCATACGATGTTATTTCATTGACCATCTTTTAATTCAATCATGATTAATATTAATACCTTGATTTTTCTACATATAAAAGCAGAGTATAGTTTGACGAACAATTTTTCTCTGAACATCAATGCCTGCAAATATATTGAAACCATAGAAATAGAAAGGACAAATCGCAAGTAACATTTTTATAGGTAAAACTCTCTAAATTCAGAATTGCTATGAAGTGAATTACTTGTTTTATAGCGGATGATGAGTAATTTCCATATGAACTCTTTATTACTTTGTATAGTGAATAATTTTTCATTATAAATGACATACGCGAAGAAGCAGGTGACGCTACAATTTCTTTTTTTCAAAAAAATCTCTCCAAATTGAAAACAAAGCTTTTTTTGCAATATCTTAAATTTTCTCCTATCTTATGCATTGCCGATGGTTCGGAATAAAATAAAAATTTCACTTCGTAGACAATATGAATTTAGAAAGTTTTAATAATATAAATATAGTTCGTATTTTGTTCTTTTTTATTTATATGGTTTCAATTCTTTTGAGGAAATAGTGAGTTAACAGTTAGCATTGAAATTTTATGCGCATATAGCATAGATATTGTTTTGAATCGTGGCACAAACTACACTTCAAAATCTACCTTTATAAAATAGTTTTCTGCAAAACGAAATCATCGGAAAAATACTCTAGAGTATTGTATAAGGATGATTATCTACTACATGTATGCATTTTCTTTGATGTAGAAACTATTATTGGTCTTTCTATATATGATATATAGACTTTTATATCTTTCACGTAAATAACCGTTGTTTTTCATATTTAAATTAGATCTTCTGTACGGAATCATGAATAAATTATATCTTGCTATTAGTATTGTGTGCTTCATAGTTTTTCATGGTATGTAAATGTATTTAATATAAATCGTTTTGTTCTTGTATTTCAATATTTATCTATTTTTAAGATGAAGCAACTTTTATACGTGACACCAACCTTACCTTAGATGGTAAAGTTATATTTACCGGGAATTCATCTACACCCATTGAGCCAGATGCAATATTAACAATAGAATTACAAGGCAGATCACATGTTGGTGCGCAAGCAAAAGTTATTACAAGCGGAGCCGGTCGAATTACTGCATTCCCAGTACAATTCAGATTAAATTATTACTTAAGCCAAATTGATGTCAGACATATATATTCATTACATGCTATTATTAGAAATAAAAATAATGAATTATTATATATGAGTGATGATCATATCATTACAGTGCCACTTAGTACCGATAAACACACATCAATCGTAATTCCTGTTAAACTTATCAAACGTAAGTCGAGAAAAAATTCTTTTGTGAACTTTTATTTCTATTTCTAGAGAAAATATCTGTGTCTAATAAACATGAATGGCCCGAATTAATTTGTAGAAGTGGCCAAGATGCAGTTGACATTATTAAACGAGAAACAGGCAATATTCTGATATAGAATAAATGTAGAAATTTTTTTTTATGATTGGAAATAGGTTTTACAGATGTAACCAAACTGAAAGTAGGATCACCGATGACTATGGATTTACGGACAAATCGCGTGCGTGTTTTTGTCAACGATCAAGATATTGTGACAACGATACCAACTGTTGCCTGAATAATCTGTCTGAAAACAAAATCAGAAAAAATAATGAAATAAGCATTTTTCTTACAAATTTCAATAGACGTCATCTTGTTTCCATGTAACCTAGCACAGTTACATTAAATTTTATTTAAAATTACTAATAAATTACATATGACGTATTCTTGTGAGCACAACATTTATAAGAAAATCATTCTGTAGAATATTCTTATCGAACATTCGTCATAGAAATTCATATAATTGTATGGTAAAACATCTTCTTTGTAAGTTTTTATTAAGATCTATTAGAAATTCATCACTGTGAATATGACTCTTAGCGGTTTTAGTTTTATTGTGCACGTTTCAACAATCATTAATCATGTCTTCCCATTAGATTCTCATAAAGTTTCGTTTCACATGAGCAGAATGGATATACCCTCAAGTTAAAAAAACTGCAATGTCAAGACAATTTCCGATGTGGATCTGGGTTTGTAAGATATGGATGTGCAACTGTAGATGGTATCTATTATTTACCCACAATCAGTCTGTTGTCGCTGAAAGATAGAGTGTATGTAGTAGATGCTTTTGTGTGTAGAAGAGTGACTGGAGATTGCATGTGCGCTCGTTGAAGGTCATTTGGTTTCCATGTTTTGCTGTTTGATTCTCTATTACGATCGAAATCACTTACAGTACAGATTTGTCAAAAATGTTTTGCACGAGGGATACAACTCCAACAATGTATAATATCAATATTGAATTTTATACCAAATGATAGCTCGTGTAGAATGGAATTCAGGAGTGGGATTGATCAATCATCAGATGAGAATCAGTGGTAGAATTAAGAGAAGTTCCAAATTTTAGAGGTATAATTGGAAACTTTCACAGGTGCTTAACCACGAAACATAAGATTTCCAGACAATCTGATGTTTGATGGTTGAACAGTCATGAAAGTTTCCAGTTACATCCCAAAAACTTGAAACTTCTCGTAATGGATGTGGGTGTGGATATTTGATTTTATAACGACACCCACCCCCATACTCTAATAGACTAGTTTGGGTAAAACTCATTCCCATGTATGTGCGTGTGCGATATAACTTGTCTCATTTTCTTTCATCAATAATATCTTTTGTTCTTGATCTATTTTGCTCCAGTTTTAATCAAGAAGTAAACAATGAAAAAAATCGAAACACATGCTCCACACTATTTTCGTATCAACTGCTATATGAAATCTAAATCTATTGGTACAAGCAGTGATGTGTAAAAAGATAGACACATGCTAATAGCACATAGTGAAGAAGCAGTGGGGAAAATGGGTCATAATGAGGGCACATGAGATGTGAGTGTGAATGATATAACCAATAATGATCACCCTCATGAAATACTACTTTGTATCAGTTGTTCATTCTGCTCATCATTAATGTCCTTGAAACGATCACATCGTTTCACTCGTGGGAAGGTAACGGAATACATTTTCGAAACAATCCATCAGATTTTGTCACCTTGTGCATTCCTTCGCACCGATACAATTGTTGGATAATCGCTTTGTTGCAATAATCACAACATTTCACAATCATCATCGTGACAGTGTCGTCAGTCTACGCTCACAACCATAACGCTCACATTACAACAACATCGATTACTTCATCACATTATTCACATCGACCATAACGTTTATACTCCATTTTCAATCGTGTTTCACGAAATAGATGAAATTTTGAATTCGATCAGCATTCGGGGAAGTACGCATAAGTTAAAATAACCTCTGTTGCAAAAGTCTTTAGACAAAATGTTTATTCATTTTTCAGTCGCCTAAACGTCATTGGTGAGAATTAAAAGCAGTTGGCTAAAATCAGATTTTTGTGTTCTTTCCGAATATCTGATCAGAATATTTCTCTGACTTAACATTGATTAGAAATGGGCCAAATGTGTGACAGAGTGAAAAATGATGTCTGTACAAAAAGTCATTCTGCAAATGTTTGTTCATCTTTCAGCCGCTAAAAGTATTTGATACGAACCAAAAGCAGCTCCTTAGAGTCAGTCTTATCTGCTCTTCTCTTATGTGTGTTCAGAATATCTCTTTGGCTTAAGATTGGTTAGCTGTAAGTTAATACTTGAAAGAGGCGAAGAAAGACATCTCGACAAAGAAAACACATGTTTTCCCGCTCTTTATTACTTATGTAAGTTGGATTTTGAAGCAGTTCGAAATTGGCAATTTGTAGAGCATTCAATTCTCTATAAAACCATATATGACAATAGGCTTCGACTCAAATGAATAATAGGTTGTAGACGTTTTTCTGAGAACTAATTAGTACGTAAAATAAAATCCTGCCAAAAAGTCAGTTTTCCAAGATCTTCTATTTATTATACAACAGATTGCATGTATTTGTTTCGAGATGGAAAACGAAACTAAATAGCATAGTTTGTAGAGCAAACTTCGCTCTATCAAATTGGCTGATGAAAATATCTTTCATGTTTTGCGTAGAGTAGATATCGATCAAAACACAAAAATACATCCAATAAAATTCTGTACAAACATCATTTTCGACTCTGTCAAACATTTGGCTTATCCATAATCAATATTGAGTCAGTGAAATATTCTGATCAGATATTCGAAAAGAGCACAAAAATCTGATTTTAGGTCACTACTTTTGATTCTCATTAATGACGTTTAGGCGGCCGAAAAATTAATAAACATTTTGTCTAAAGACTTTTGCAACAGGGGTTATATTAGACAGTTTGGTCGAGGTTTGAAGCAGTTTGACCATGGTCGAAACTTTTAGCAAGTGTAAAACCTGTATAAAACATTGACTACTTTATTGTAAATAACTTTATATTTGCAGCTCTGACGGTTCCAGTACACTGCACCGAACAAAACCGAGTGTACTAGCATTCTCTACACAAAATTCCTATTCGGAACACTGGTTAATTAGTATCTCTTTTGTCAAAGTCAAAAGTTCGAGATTAAAAAAATGCGACGATTCCTTTTTTTTTATCTATCCAATGTTGAAAAAGACATTTTAATTATTTGCAATAAACAGTGAAAAATTATCTGCCATGCAGACATGAGCTGACCGATTATCATTATCTCGTGAAGGAGAACTCTAGCGACTCATCATGCTACACATCGTGGATGATGTGTCGCCAGTATTCTGCATGTAGGAAGCGATTTTCTTTGTTGTTATTTTTTGCATATTAAGTTCTAGATCGCGTGACTCAGCATATTTTTCTGAATCAACTCAAGCTAAATCCTTTTGTCAATTTGTTTAACATCGAATAAGAAAAAGAAAGAAAGAATACAATGATGACATTTGATATTCGACATTTGGTTTTGCTGCCTTGTTCTTTTCTTCTCACAATCGGTCGACAAATAATGAACTTTACAAAAAATCCGTTGCTCGCACCTAATTCAATTCTAATCGAACATCAATAACCCGAAAATATCTAACATTTCTTCTTGTTGTTCGACATTTAATTTGTACTATGCCGAGCAAATCGCTGTTATTCTTCAGCCAAATGAGGCAAGCAGTTCTAGGAGCGCATCAGTTTATGGGCAATGCGTTTGTTCGTTTGACGCGACTCATTCTGAAAATTCGACATTTTTCTACTCGATGCACGTAGAGTCTTGCTCATATAATGTGCACAATCACAACTCGATCGTATCTAATGTCAAACACGTCTTTCTCTCGTAATACTTGTTGACTAGAGCCCAAGCAAGTGAGATGTACGCGTTCAAACGATGATTTTCTTTTCCCATCGAAAAAAAATCATTGAGGATGACTCGAAATAGTTTCCGCTCGCGTAATTAATCGAAATAGAGGAAAAAACAACGCCATCGATCAGCGATGTTCTTTAAAGCATTGAGGAAAAAGAATCAACTTCAGACTAATTTCTCATTTTTCACTTCCCGTCAGATAATAACCATCGAAACGTTACATTTACTAGTGTTCGTCTAGTTACTTCTAATTCCTTGTTTTCCTAATGATATTTATCATTACTCGATAGTTCTTCAATTTGAACTTTGTTATCAATGATCAATACACATCAAAACAACAGCAAAACGTTCACATATGTGTCATGACTAGATTGTGTGTGAAAATTCTCTAATGTTTATTCTGTTCCTTGTTCATTTTCGTGTGCATTGTGTTACGCTGTCTTTTTTGTGAAATTCAGCTTTTCTTCTTCCTATCTGTGATATTTGTGTTATAATTTTGTAGCATGAACCGACTTTGTTAACAAGCTTTCAATCTTCCCGTACAGTTCTCATGTTCATCTTACGTTGTCTTCTCCAATATACCCTTGTGGGCGTCGCCATCTGTGCAATGATTTCGCCCAATCGCACTCTTCCACGACAACAACAGGTAATTCGATCGCATTGTTTGACGATGCAAACGTGAGGATAAATCCTATTCCGTGACATTGAATATTACGGAACCGATTCTGCTACCGGAATCACTACCCTCCAATTTCGGGAACTCGATGATCGTTCAACATAAGAGTCCTAATCGATATCGATCGAGTTCCGTCAATTCTCGGAATTCCCAAGATTTCAATCTAATTCCGGAATTGGAAGGAATTCTCAGAAATTCCTAGCAATGGCGGAATGGAAGGTGATTCTTGGAATTTCGGGAATTGAAAGAACTCGATTAATATTGATTAGACGTCTCATGTTGAATAATGATCGAGTTTCCGCAATTGAGTAGAACTGCTTCCGCAATGTTCAACATTGCGGAATAGAATGACTGCTTGCAAACGTCGAGTAATTGTCATTCGTTGATAAATTAGCCATTTGAACCGACCTCGAGAAACTCATCGTCCACGACGCTCGTTGATCTATCAATTCAGAATCCGTACTACGCTGCCAACAACGATGGAACTCC